TTATATGGAAAAGGAAATATAGTACAATTTGTAAAAGGCACTAGACTGGAGTGGGCTGGTCACGTTTGGAGAGCGGATAATAGTATTGTCAAGAAGGTACTTGTAAACCACTTGAACGGGAAAAGACCTCGCGGCAGACCGAAGCAGCGTTGGATAGATGTAGTCAAAAGAGATATCCAGGAGTTAAGACCAGATTGGCATGGAGACCTCCTAATGCATGCATATAATAGAGAAGAGTGGAAGAATTTGATATTGGCAGCAAAGGGCCTAAATGGTCTATAATGCTAAAAAAAAAAAATTGTCAAATCTTAGATTTAAAAAGAATTTTTTTTATGAATTTCTAGCATAAAATAATTTGCAAATTTTTGTGATTTTACGTATTTTGTAAAAATTAAAACTGAATGCTTATAAAAAAAATGTGTGACTGTTTTCAAGCTTTTCTACCCAACAACTACATTTTGATCGATATTAATTTAAAAAAAACTAATCATCATCGAAAATTGCATAGGTATGCTTAGAAATAGTTCAAATTAAGTCGAAATTTTTTGAAAGTTACATGGTGGATAGAATATACTTATATAAACATTTGGTGAAAATTTCATGTATCTAATGTCATTTGTTTTAATGTTACATCAAAAACCAAAATTTATTTTGCAGAAAACTGATTGTGCGTAAAAATTCCCGTTTTTTCCTTAATTTTTAGTTTGTTTATCGTTTATCCCAATTATTTAGAAAAATATTGAGAATTTTTTACTTTTGACCCCCGCCAAAGTACCAACTAGATTCACTTTCTGATCGAACGTCGTACTGAAGTCGATAATCGAAGCACTTTTACTGCCCCAAAACGTGATGACAGACACAAAAAAAATATCAATACATTCCTCGCACCGCTCTGCAGAATCTAAAATCATCCTTACTATCGCCACACGGCCTTCTGAGTATCACCATGTAGTCTTCTACGTATACCAAAGTATGAGAACCGCTGGTATAGGATGTGTATGCATAGGCTAGGATAAGCTAGACTGCTAGACTGTAGGGCATTGAAGAAAGTGGCTAAATGCAGAACCCAGCACCTATGCATGGGCCGTTCATAGAAACATTTTTTTATAATCGACAATCGTTAGCAAATTTTTCTAAACTAGAATAAAACAATATTATGATAATCCTCAAAGAAAATGGAAAACAAAACTTATTTTTGTTTTCGAGTAAATGAACAATTTTTAATTTAATTAATTTACTTATGAGCTTACACCCTCATKCGTTGAATCCAACTTACAAATGTATAAAATATAGCAAAAAAATAATGTTTTGTATGGAAAAGAACCAAGAAGCCTACAGTCGTAACTGAGAAACRAGATTTATTTTTTTGATATCGAAGCTATTTACAAAAAAGTTATTCAAGTTTGAAAAACACAAAAATAATGTACCTATTTCGAAACAATGAGAACTTTTTTTGTAAAGTGACATCAAAAAATTAAAAACTATGTTTCACAGATAATGTCCAAAACTATATTGTATATAAATTTGGGGTTAACAGTTGTCGTCAATACGCAAACACCTAGTTAGCCACCGCTAGCTAGTTATTCAAAGCAATAGGTTTCGTTATCACGTTGKTTTCACGCAAATTATTTTCATAATTGCCTAGATAATGTATTTTAGATATAGCGTATTACATGATAA